GCCTCCCGGGTTCACGCCATTCTCCTGCCTCAGCCGCCCGAGTAGCTGGGACTACAGGCGCCCGCCACCTCTCCCGACCAATTTTTTGTATTTTTTTAGTAGAGACGGGGTTTCACCGTGTTAGCCAGGATGGTTTTTCTTTTTTTTTTGAGATGGAGTCTCGCTCTGTCGCCCAGGCTGGAGTGCGGTGGCGCGATCTCCGCTCACTGCAAGCTCCGCCTCCCGGGTTCACGCCATTCTCCTGGCTCAGCCTCCCGAGTAGCTGAGACTACAGGCGCCCGCAACCGCGCCCGGCTAGTTTTTTGTATTTTTTAGTAGAGATGGGGTTTCACCGGGTTAGCCGGGATGGTCTCCATCTCCTGACCTCATGATCCGCCCGCCTCGGCCTCCCAAAGTGCTGGGATTACAGGCGTGAGCCACCGCGCCCGGCCAGTTTTTTCGTTTTTGAAACAGGGCCCCCCTCTGTCGTCCAGGACGCAGTGCAGTGGCGCGATCTCGGCTCACTGCAGCCTCTACCTCCCTGGCACAAGCGATCCTCCAGCCTCAGCCTCCCGAGTAGCTGGGACTATAGGCGCCCCCATGCCCGGCTAACTTCTGTATTTTTTGTAGAGATGGCGTCTTGCCAAGTTCCCCAGGCATTTACTGACCCGGAATCAACCTGGCGGGTCAGGGAGAGCCTCTTCTGCCCAGAGGTCATTGTGCCCGGACTCGAGCCCTGGCTGTGAAGTTCCTGAGGCCCCTCACTCTAGGGATGGGAAACACCAAAGGTGTGATGTTTCCTCCTCGGTTTCTGAGGCTGCCTGGAAGCGGGGATAGTGGTGAGCAGCTGTCTCTCCCTTTCCTGAAAACGTAAATCAGAAACACTTTCTGAGGCCAGGCACGGTGGCTCATGCCTGTAATCCCAGCACTTTGGGAGGCTGAAGTGGGTGGATCACCTGAGGTCAGGAGTTCTAGACCAGCCTGGCCAACATGGTGATAATCCCCTCTCCACTGAAAATACAAAAATTAGCTGGGCATGTTGGTATGTGCCTGTAATCCCAGCTGCTTGGAAGGCTGAGACAGAATTGCTTAAACTCAGGAAATGGAGGTTGCAGTGAGCCGAGATTGTGCCACTGCATTCCAGCCTGGGCTACAGAGCAAGACTCTGTCTCAGGAAAAAAAAGAAAAAAAAAGTGGCTCAAAAATAAACAATTAAAAATGTTCTTATGGTCTTCACAAAAATAAACTTTTTAAAAAAGAAAAAAAAGTAAAATGCTCTCCAGACCCAGCTGTGGGCCACTGCTGCCTGGTTCCCACCTCCTGGCACAAGAAGGGGCCATCCCTGGCTGATGAGGAAGTCAGGTTTCTCCCACCGGACCTGCCCACCACAGCCTGTGGACACAGCCCTGTTGGTGGGAACCTGTGGTTTGGGTTCAGGAATCTTCCCATAGGGTGAGATCCTCGGAAAGCTGCTGTGCCCTGTGACCTCCCAGCCTCTGAGCAGAAAAGCGTCACAGGGAACCTAGATGGGTCTGGGGCAGCAGGCCCCAGCAGGCCCAGTGAAGGGAGGGACAGACAGATGGGTGCTATCCTCTGGCATCCAGGCCTTGTGGACCGAGGGGCTGCGCCTCCCACGCAGCTGCGTGCACTTACGCAGGATATTCTGGGGTCCACCGTGGCCAAGCCAGGCCTGGGCCCCAGGGGCAGGACACCATCCCTGCTGCTGAGGGACCTCAGGCCAGGAGCAGGGCAGCCAGGGACAGTGGAGTGTAGGAAGAGACCTCCACCCAGTAGTTCTGGGTGAGCCACCACGTGGGCACTCACTTCGGAGGCCTGAGCAGTGTCTGGTGGAGACCGACAGCCCCCTCCTGCCACGCCCCACACCCACTGGCAGAGACAGGCCAGGCCACTAAGTGGAGCCCCTGTCCAAGTGAGGGGCTTGGGGGACAAAGGGAGCGGTTTGGGGTGTCCGCCCTGCGCCCTGGGTGCCCAGTGGCCGCTGGGATGTCCTCGAAGTCCCGCTAAGGGGGTGGACAATTGTCCAGTGGGGCAGACAAACCTTGGCCCCTGAAGCCCTGTGCCCAGGGAGCACCTACAAGTTTCAGCCTGGTCCTGGCCTGCCGCCATGGGGAGGCCTCACTCACATCCCAAGTGGACAGAGGCAATGACCTTGGTGGACACAGTGTGCAGTGGATGAGGGCAGTGAGGGACAGCATGAACATGGTCCCGTTTCCATGGACAAGTTACTAATGACAAGGGAACGTGGCTTTGCAGCACAAAACCCCGCAGACAGGACCTCGACCAAGTAGTCACATTGGCATCACTGGGATGAACAGGTGGACTCTGTGTGCCACCCTGGGTGGTGCCCTGCTACTGCTGCCATAAGCATGAGTGGCATCTCATCATGAGGGTCATCAGCAGACCCAACCAGGGACACGCCTGAGTAACGGGCTCCATCCCTAAAGCACCAGAGGCTTTGGAGACTGGCCCATGACACATGGGACACACGGGAATGGGGTCGGTGGCTTGGACAGCATCTGTGCAAAAGCTCCGGATTTGAGCACCGCACTGGCTGCCTTGTTCTGAGGAAATGCATGCTGAAAATTCTAGAGCCAAAATGGGCAGCTGACTCAAATGGTGCAGAAAAATATAAAGAATGTGCTGGCTGGGCCTGGTGGCTCACACTTGTAATCCCAGCACTTTGGGAGGCCGAGGCGGGCAGGTGGCTTGAGCCCAAGAGATCAAGACCAACCTGGGTAACACGATGAAACCCTGTCTCTACTAAAAACACAAAAATGAGCCAGGCGTGGTGGTGGGTGCCTGTAATCCCAGATACTCGGGAGGCTGAGGTGGGAGAATCGCTGGAGCCCAGGGAGGTTGAGGCTGCACTCCAGCCTGGACAGTAGAGTGAGACCCTGACTCAAAAAAAAAAAAGACAAACTGTGAGAACGTACACACAGCACAAGGTCATGGGGACATATAGGTGAGGGGTGCTGGAAGCACCCTGTGTTACTCTCACAGCATTTCTGTAACTCTGAATCTGTGAAGTACTGGTGAGACCCTTCTCTGTGGGCGGCCCCAGCTCTGAAAGGGAAGGTGTCTGCTTCTCGGGGTGTCCTGAGGGTCCATAAATGGTCCTGGGCAGGCCTTGGAAAAGCTCCAGCCCATTGTCCTGTCTGGGTCAGTGAGGCAGGGGTGGCCAGAGCCCTGGTGGAGGGATGAGGGGCGCCCCACAGGTGTAGGCTGTCTCCAGGCAGGGGCTGTACAGCGAGGACACATGGAGCCTGGAGGTGCAGGCGGCACCTCTCGGTGGCTGCGAATGCTGGGGTGATGGTGTTCCCTTGGTCAGCTCTGGTGCCAAACCTAGCTGGCCCTCAGGGTAGGCAGTCAGCCCAGTGCCCAGCAGAGGGGGCGATCGCTGCCAGACATGACCCATGACATGGCCATCACAGAGCAGTGGGCTGAGCGTCAAGACCCTTACCTGGTGGAAGCCCTAGGAGGTGTGGTGGCCCAGTGGGCAGCTTGCGGGGAGTGGGAGGTACAGGTTGGGGGTGTTGGTGGACTCAATAGGCAGCTGGAGGGGGAGTGGGGGTAAAGGTAGGGTGGGGGGTGAGGTGGGCAGCTATGGGGTATAGGGGACACAGGTGGGAGGGGTGACAGGCCAGATGGGCAGCTGGTAGGGACAGGGTAGGCAGCTGGAGGGGGAGTGGGGGGGGATACAGATGGGAGGGGTGTTGGGCCAGGTGGGCAGCTGGGGGGAGGCGGGGGACACAGGTAGAGGGCTGGTGGGCCCCGAATGCCTCTGAGTCCAGCCTCTGGTTGCCTGGAAGTCCAGGTTGGATGGAGGCCTGTACACTTCGGGCCGGGAATGGGCTGTGGGGCCTGCCAGGTGGGCCCCTGCACTGCAGGCAACGGAGACCGTTCTTAGCAGATGTGGCAGCTGCAGGCTCCACTGCGCCAGGACCCATGAGGGCCCCACCCCGCATGGACTCCACAGACCCAGAGCTGGAGCTGCTCGCCCCGCCCCGCCCCGCCCCTGGAGGCCTACACCCCTGCGCCATGTATGTCAGGGCAAGGCCATGACCCCAGGGTAGGGGGGCCCGGGTTCACCCGCCTACACCAAGGTCCTCTGGGGCCCAGGGCTTGCGAGCTCGTCCCATCAGCCGTCGTCAGGGCCTGGAGCAGGAAACCGGCGTCGACTCCGCAGGGCAGGCCCACGTGAGGCAGCCCAAATCCCTCCGGTAGCGTCCGCATCCCCACCCTGGAGCTTCCCTGGACTCGTGGCGCTCGTGGACCCAGGGCCGAGCCTGCGCTCCAGACGCGGGGCAGGTTTTATTGCGCAGCAGCTGACGGCTTCCCCAGTGCTGGGTCGCCAGGGAGTCCGGAGTGGTCCTGGTGCTGCTGAGACGGGCGCTGCCTCCTCCCGCCCACAGCGCGTCATCCCCTCACCAGCCGGCACCTGCAGGCTCCCCTCCTGAAGGGAACCCCGCACCCAGGCCGTGCTGTCTGGCAGGCACTTTTGGCTTCAGTGCCACAGCCCCTCCCAGGCTGCTCACACCCGTGGCCCACAGAGATGTCTGCACAGCAGGGCTTCCGCCTTCCCTGGGAGGCCCATGATGGGAGACAGGAGATTTGGCCCAAGGGCCTGTTGCTGCAGGGGCACCACTCATGGAGAGGTATGGCTGGGTCAGTGGGCGGGCCCTTGACATTGAGGCTGCTCCCACCCCCACAGCAGCCTGGCAATGCCCACGGCCTGCTGACATCTCCTTCACAAAGCGACCTCTCCAGGGAACATCAGCAAATAAACCCCGTGTGGTTCAGGGAGTCAGGGCCGGGGCCCTCTGGACCTGGGTACGCAGGGTGGGCATGGGGCAGTGCTCTGGACACCTGGGGCTGCTGTGCCCGCCACCGTGGTGACTGCAGCAGGCGGGAAGTGGGTCTCAAGGCAGGCAGTGCCAGTGATGGAGCGCAGCCAGCTGGGCTGGCCACCCCCACATCTGCTCACCCCCAATGACCTCCAAGCCCAAGGTGTGAGAGCAGGGCCTGCCGTGTTCGGGAGCGTACAGCAGCGTCCACAAAGCACGGGCCGCGCGCCAGCTGAGCTGGCACCACCCTGGCAGAGGGCTGGCCGTGGCTGTGCAGTGGTTCTGGGCGAGCCGGCGGCCGGCTCCCTCAGTCCTGCTTGTCCCCTCTCTGCCTCCAGGGGTAGATGAGCTCCCCAAAGAACAGCTTGCGGCACAGGGCACCCCAGGAGTCCTTGGGGTGGCAGCCACAGCTGGGGAGACGGTAGGTGTGCATCACGCGGCTGTAGGGCAGTGGGTTTATCTGGAAGGACAAGGGCGGCGGTCAGCGGGGTGGTCTGAGCTCCAACCCCATCTGCAGAGGGCGGGCGGGGGCGGGCCGTTGTGGGGCAGGGCCAGCGCTGTCCCAGACATTCCCTCGCCTGTGGGACAAGCCGGTCCCAGTTCCCAGGGAGGCAGGTGAGCCTGCAGCCAAAAGGGAGCGCTGTGGGGAGGCAGGAGCTGCATCTCCCCTCGGGGCTGTCCAACTCTGAGGGGCCGTGCTGCAGGGACACACGCCCCACTCCAGGACTCACTCAGTCGGTTCTACTCCACCCAGAACTTGAGCCCTGTGGGACCCAGGGCAGCCCCAGCCAGCCAAGGGCGCCTCTGACACAGGGCAGAATGGGCCCCATCCACAGGACACCAGTGTCCTCAGGCCCTGCGGGTAAGGGGGGGTGTTCCCGGGTGGGCCTTGCCCCTCAGCTCCACTGGACCTTCCCTGTGCCTCATCGCAGGCTGGCATGGTGCCATCCAGACACTACACCCAGCTGACCCCACTGTTCCAGAACAGGGGCAGCAGCATAGGACGTCCTGGCCACAGGGGGCCTCACCTGCATCAGGAGGCGCAGGGGCCTGCCGGCCTCGTGCTGCAGGACACGGAACTTCACACCAGCTGCAAGGATAGCAAGGGGCTTACAAGGGAGGACGTGTGGGGGCCAGCTCCACGCATGGGCAGAGGCTGGAGGTACCTTCCTCTCTGAGGGGCACCCAGGTGCTGCTGGCCGTGGCCACCCACGAGGCTCTCCCTGCCCCTTCCCCACCCCAACTCCTGGATCTCGCTGCCAGGGCAGCATCAAAGCCTCCTGCAGCCGGGCGCAGTGGCTCATGCCTGGAATCCCAGCACTTTGGGAGGCCGGGGGGGGGGGCGGATCACGAGGTCAGGAGTTCGGGACCAGGCTGGCCAACATGGTGAAACCCCATCTGTACTAAAAATACAAAAATTAATCAGGTGTGATAGCTTGTGCCTGTAATCCCAGCTACTTGGGAGGTTGAGATGGGAGGATCACGAGGTCAGGAGTTTGAGACCAGCCTGGCCAAAATGATGAAATCCCCATCTCTACTAAAATAGAAAAAATTAGCCGGGCGCGGTGGCTCACGCCTGTAATCCCAGCACTTTGGGAGGCCAAGGCGGGCGGATCACGAGGTCAGGAGATCGAGATCACAGTGAAACCCCGTCTCTACTAAAAAAAAAAAAACTAGCCGGGCGAGGTGGCGGGCGCCTGTAGTCCCAGCTACTCGGGAGGCTGAGCCAGGAGAATGGCGTGAACCCGGGAGGTGGAGCTTGCAGTGAGCCGAGATCGCGCCACTG